CGGGGAGAGCGCGCCAAAAAGTGCCGCCCCCGCAGTTTAGACGGATGGAAGCTTCTAGAAGCTTCCACAGCCGTCCTACATCTGCCTGTTTATTAATTACAATACTATACATTCCATAGTACTACTAACAACCCATTGCAATAAGCTAATAATATCACCCAATCGGATACACTCACCCTCCCTCTGGCAACCGCCGCCTCTTCACAGCCTTCATTCTCGAAAAAGCACAGCGGACGGCGAATCCCTACGACCCGGCGCCATGGGATTACTCGGTTCCAGTAAATATTGAGCAGCTGCACGACGTTCGCGGTGAATCTCCGCATCGCTGCCTCCTGGTGGAATGGCAGATTACCCCGCTTCAGTTGAGCTGGGTATGGGAAGAGCAACTCGACCAACGCTTCGCTTGGCGCATGGATCAAGTGATGCAATGGCGTGACCATCTGTGTCCAGGTGCTTTCGCCTATTATTACAAGAAGCATTTTGCGCGCCGTGACCAAGCTTCTCCTGCTGGAGGATGCTTCATCGACGTGTTCGGCGCGGCGCTTTATCAACTTGGTGATACTGGCCTTGCATCCACGGCCACTGAGGTATGGGTGGACTTCGTGCGTGATCACCCAAGCACTGTCGAAGAAGTTTCTCGTGCGGAAGCTACGGAATTCTTTCACGTTCTTCAGCGCAACGATTTTCCGTTGGATTACGATATTCTCTTCCAGAGTCCACTTGATGCTTCGTACACGAATGTGGAACGGTTCCAGACGTTTGTCCAAACACTGCGTGAAGGAGTGTACCTCACGAGTATTGGTGATGGTCTCGTCGGACACAGCGTTGTTGTTCTCGCGAAGGGTCCAGACACTGCTGTTTCCGTACTGGATGGCGTTGAACTGCCGGTGACCCCGGAACCTTTGACCAACTTGGCGTATCTCGGCAAGGTCAAATGGATGGGATTGATGGAACTTAATCCAGGGTATCGTTGCCGCCGCGGGAAACGAAAGTCCAGGCCAAATCGAAAGAAAGCTCGCCGCGAGAAGAAGCAGCAGAAGTTGTAGGGAATGTAATGTGGGAATACATGTAGGCTCTCGAGCCCCCTTTACTCCTGTCTTTGTCGTTCATCTTCTTCGCCGTTTCCTTCTCCTAGATGATTCGAAGTCTCGAATGAGATCCGGAGCCTGTGAGAGATTCTCGACCGGCTCTCAAGTGGGTTTCTCCTCACCCACCCACTCCACAAGAAATTGGGCTCGTTGCTTGTGAGTTCGTTTACCGAGAAGCCTTTGGATGAGTTGTCCAACTGTACCATCGGCTAGAACGACATCATGGGGCCTTGACATCCGAGTGGCGTTCTTGTAAGGCTTCAAAGATCCGGTGTTGAAGACTGGATTAAGTTTGTTTCCGGCTTGGATACTGAGCTCGTACGCGTGATTATGGATCCTCCTTACCACCGTATAGGGACCTATCCACTTCGGACCAAGCTTGCTTGAGTTGGGTAACCCTGTATGTCTCCGATCTAAGTGTTTCGTACTCAAGTACACTCGGTCGCCAGCTTCGAAGACTTGCTCCACCCGGTTTCGGACGTACACATCGCGCATTCGCTCTTGCGCTTCCGCCAGTGCTTTCTGACACCGCCGAAGAAGAGCTGCTTGTCGCTCGTTGAACTCAGCTCCACGTCGACTTGTGGGGACCTTGCCACGATTCTCCGCCGCAAGTTGAAGCGGGTTTAGTGGGGCGTATCCGAGATTAGCTTCGAAAGGCGCCATCTTGATACTACTGTTACCGGTTGAATTCACTGCGAACTCAGCATTGGCAAGATGGATATCCCAGTCGTCTTGAACAGGGCCCACGAAGCACCGCAAATATTCCTCAAGTGTCCTGTTCATCCGCTCCGTCTGGCCGTCTCCTTGAGCCCGATCTGCTACTGTCTTCTTGAGCGTTGTTCCGATTGATTTGAAGACGTGCTGCCAGAACGTCAAAACGAACTTCCTGTCTCTGTCGGACACGATGCTTGTTGGCATTCCATGAAGTTTCCAGATATGGTCGATGAAGAGGCGGGCAACGCCTTCGGCGTCTACCTTCTTCGTAGTCGGTACAAAGTGACATCGCTTTGTCAGTCGGTCGACAACGACCCAGATGAAATCTACTCCTCGCTTTGTTCGTAACAAGTCGGTGATGAAGTCCATCGAAATCGATCTCCACCTTTCGTCGGGAACACGTAATGGTTCCAGCAGTCCTGGTGGCCTCGTTAGCCTCGGTTTGTTCCGTCGACAAGGCTCACAGGCGGCAATGTACGATTGGATTGACTTCAACATCTTGGTTTTGTACCACCTCCCAGCCAGTGTCAGGTACGTCCGCTCCGATCCCGGATGTCCCCCGTAGTTGGAGTCGTGACACTCACTGATGACCACCTGCCTCAACTTCACATCGTTGGGCACTACGATACGTGGACCATCGTCGGATGGAGTCTGGTACCACAGCAAACCGTTGTCTTCCGAATAGCAGCGATATTGTTTCTTCTGTTGTCGCCTGGCTTTCGCCTGCTGGCTATCTGCACGCCGCTGAATTGCTGTAAAAATCGCTTTTGCTTCTCGATCTCTCTTGTACGCCTTTTTGATCTTGGCTATCAACTCGCTGTCAGTGGTCACCTCGCTGACTGCTAAAGTGAAGGACGCATCATTGAAGCTGGTCACACTCAAGTCATGAAAGTACTTCGTCTCCGGTTGCAAGTCTGGTCTTCGGCTAAGCGCGTCTGCGATTCCGCTCTTCGCACCTGGAAGGTATGAGAACGTTGGCTGATACTCCGCGAGGATATCGTACCAGCGCGCGAGACGACGGTTCGCCATCTTTTGAGTAAAGAGACCTTCAAGACTCTTGTGATTCGTTTCCACGATTGGTGGCTTGTCCAAGCATTAAATACGGAAAGCTGCCAGCGCGTGAACATTGCCAGAAGTTCTTGCTGCTGCGTCGGGTAATTGAGCTCCGCAGATTTCATCTTTCTACTGGTGTAAGCAATGGGTAGCTCAACACCATCGACAACCTGGAACAGGACTCCTCCGACTGCAAACTTGCTAGCATCCGTACGCAAATGCATAGGCTGATTGAAATCGGGCAAGTGCAACACTGGTGGATTGCACAGCCGTTTCTTCAGCTCCTTGAAGTTCTTCGACTGCTCTTCGTCGAAACGAATCTTTCGCATTACGCTTGGGACTTCTTCTTGAGCAAAGTAAACATACTTGCTGTCAGTTTCGCGTAGTCTGGGCAGAATCGTTGGACGTATCCAGTAAAGCCGAGGAAGCTGTGAAGCTCCTCTTACGCTCTTGGAATTGGCCAGTCCTTGATGGTCTGCACCTTATCTGGATCCATCCGCACGCCGTTTCTCCCAACAAAATCTCCAAGGCATGGAATCTCGTCGGCACAGAAGACGCACTTGGACAGCTTCACGTATAACTTGTTGTCTCGCAAGATGTCCAATGATTTGCGGAGAGCTTCCAAGTGATCTTCAATCTTCTGTGTCTTCGTGAAGATGTAGATGTCGTCGTAGAACGACTTCGTGTTCTCCAGATCGCGAAAGAGTTTCGACGTCAATCGATGCATCGTCGCTGGCGCGTTGCAGACTCCCATTGGCAGTACCAGGTACTCCCAGAGTCCGTTGGGCGCCTGGAATGCTGTGAACTTGAAACCTTTCGGCACGCATTCGAACTTGATACTACGCGGACATCAAGTCCATCGTTGAAAACCAGTACCCTCCGGCCATTACGTCCAGTATGTCTTCTTTCCTTGTCATCGGTATGCTCTGCCGCATCGTATTAGAGTTCAAGTACCGATAATCGTGAACAATCCGCCACCCAACTGGTTTCCTGACGCAGAAGGATGACGCCGCGTGTGGGCTGATGCTTGGTCGGATAAGTTTCTTC